GAGTGAAGAAAACACTTTTAGTGTTGTAATTTGCCCATCTGATCTGTGAAGGGCAGTGTACAATCCCTTTATTTTCAAGTCTGTAGAAGTCTCCAAGAGGAAGGATATCTCTTGAATTACATACTAACCGATTATTAAACGACTCCACTGAAAAGCCCTGCACAATGTTTGGGCACTCAAAAGACGTATGTCTGAGGAACGTGTGGAGAAGGAAGTGAATAAAGAAGGACTCACAGAACCTGAAGTGGAGAGAGTGAGCGGGAGGTGGGGTAGTGAGCGGAGAGGATAGAGGCGGGAGAGGAAGCAGTTGGACCGCTGGCAGCCGAAGATGAGGGGCGGGAACCAGAAGAGACGCTGTGGGAAAAGACGAGTGCGAGTAGGACCTGTGAGCTTCCCGCCCGCACTCCGGCGCCCACTCAGAGCAGGCGCCGTGGCGCGCCGTTCTCCCCCACCCCTTCCCCCGCGGTCGCCAGGGCGCAGGCTCGCGTCTGGGCGGCCGCTGGGTCCGCGGCGATCGCTCCTGTTTCTCGGTCGTGCTCCCCGGATCTTTTGTCCTAGGCTCACCGCGCCTTGACCGCCCCGGACTAGCCTGGCTCTGGCGGAGGTAACCTACCGCAAATTCCTTCCCCGTCACGTCCCTGGCCCCCTCCCGCACCATTCGCTCTTCAGGCGCCCCCGCTCATCCCGCCCCCATACACCCTCGGATGATGCACATTCGAGGCCTCCCTTATCCCAGCCATCTCTTGCCACCCCACCTCTTCCTCCACTCCGACCGCCCGGTCCTGGCCCATCCTTCCAGCTTCCGGGCCTTCCTCAGTCTTCCAGGCGGCCCCTCCCGCCGCTGCATCCTCAGGCTGACGGAGTCTCGGGGTTCCCCGGGTCGGGGTCGCGCCAGGCCGAGCGTCGGATGCTTTCCGGTCCTGGAGGCCGCAGTGGGCACCTTACGGGCGCAGAGGGCGGCCTCCCCACCAGGACTCCCCGGAGCCAGGTTAAAACCTCAGAGAAGTCCCTAGGGATAAGTTGTCTGAGGTGGTCATGGTGAAACTCATGTATTTGACTTTAGTTAGTGATAAATCGAGCAGCAAAGGATGGACGCGATTTCTTAGACTGGTCCGTGGTGGAAACCACAGAAAAACTTGGATTATCCTCTTGAAATTGCATTCGCCCATTTGTTTTAAATATACTTTTTTTTTTTTTTGTAGACTTAACATACTACTCCTCCTATTTTGTGAATATGATTGAGTTTTTAAAGATTGTTTCCTTTTCTTCTATTAAATAATTTTACTTAGTTCGTGATGTTTATTATTATCCGTAGGTAACATTAGTGTTTTGAGAGCCAGCAGTATGTGGCATAAATAACCTTTTGATACATAACAGGGGAGGTGTTTTTTAAAGTTCTGAAAGATGAAAAACCATCTATCAGCAAATTGTTTAGGGGCTCTATCTTGAAATCTTAAGATGGTTGGCTGTCTTTTTAGCCTTTACATTTTAACTGTAAAAATTAGATATTCATCTGGAGTATTTAATCCCTGGCATCCTGTTATTTCATCTGTAAATACTTACGTATATATCTGTCATGTCTCAGAAAGATAAGGATTCTTTTTTTGTTTAATATAACCATAGTATAATTTCCGTACACCACCAGCGTTAACATTAATTTCTTAATGTCATCTAATACCCAGCCATGTTCAATTTTCCCTGATGTCTTTTTTGAATTTTGAAGTAATTTCAAGTTTACAGAGAAGTTGTAGGAATATGAAGAACTACTATAAGTTTTACCCAGATTGACCAGTTGTTTATTTTGCCAGTTTTCTTTATCCTTGTCTTTACACACACACACACACACACACACACATTTTTTCTGAACTATTTGAGACTACTCGAATATTGTGTATCATGTAAATATTTCCTACAGTACAGTTATCAAATTCTGGAAAATTAACATAGATAGACATTACCTTTATCTTGTATAGTCCGTATTCTTATTTTATCAGTCATCCCACTAATACACCCTTTATAGCAAATTTTCTTTTCTGGTGCAGGATACATACAGTTCAGGATGTTGTATTGCGGTTGGTTGTCTTGTTTCATTAATCTTTAGTCTGGACAGCTCCTGAACCTTTGTTTCTTATGACATTGACATTTTTAAGGAGTGGTGGCCCATTACTTCGTAGAATTTTCTCAATTTGGATTTGTTTCCTTATGAATAAAGTTTTCCATTTTTTGGCTAGAATACTATATAAATAATGTTATGCCTTTTCAGACTATTACATCAAGAGGAGCATGATGTCTGCCCAATATTGGTTAAGATGTTATCCCTTTTCTCCAATGTATAGTTTGTTTGTTTTTTTTTTAATACTAAGTAATTTATGGGGAGATACTTTGAGACTATGTAAATATCCTATTTCTCATCAAACTCCTCCCTCTCCTTCTTCCCTGATTTAGCATTCACTAATGATTCTTGCCTGAAATCAGTTTTTACTGTGATGGTTACAAAATGATTTTCTCCCTCTAACACCATATTGGTATGATCTCATTTATTCTTATTTTATTTAATAGGTTGTAACCCATTACTCATCTTATTTACTCTGATGCTGCGAGTGTCACAGATTTGACCTGTGGGTGCCCCTTGAAGCTGGTTCCTTTTCTTTTTGACATGTCCCCCATCATTTGTTTACTTCCTTTGTTTGAAACAAGATGTTCCAGGTCCATCTGGTTCCTTACCTCTCCCTGTCCTGAAATCAGCTGTTTTTCCAAGGAATGTTGGTTCCTCTGAGAGAGGAAAGGTATTTAGAAACCAAGATATTGGTGCAAGGTATTCATTACCACTACTTTCAGGCCCTTTTAGTGGCCAGACCTAGAAATCATGAGTTTTTATACTGATGCCTCTGATTCTAACCCAACTCTTCATGGTTCTTTCTTACTTTCCCCCATTCTATAATTGTATCCCTTTTCTTCCACACTGAGATTGCTGACTCCCATCAACATCAGTAGGTATACTCATTTGTGCAATTTTACAATACACACAAAATAGCTTCAGAATTCTATACGCATACCCCAATGAAAAACAAAATTACTAACAGGAATTTGAGATATATTTGTACTTCTTTTTCTCTTCAGACAGATAGTATATAGTTAAAATACTGTGTTTAAAAGTTATTTGGATTAATCTTTTTCCCTTCAGTGTGGTTATTTTATTCATTTGAGATACAGTTGGGTTTATTTTCTTCTCTTGGTATTAAGTTGTAGGTTTGCCCCACCTCATTTTTGTTGATTTAGTTAATGTCCTTCCAAAAGTTAAAACTATACAAAAAAGCATACTCAGAAATATCACTCCCTATCTATTGTGTTAATTTTTGTTTTATTTTCCTGTGTTTTTCTCTTTTTAAAATTAAACAATACATATATGTTTTCTTTTATCCTTCTTACACAAAAGGTAGCATATGATCTATGTACTCTTTTGTATTTTACTTTTTCACTTAGCAGTATATCCTATAAATTCTCAGTTCATAGAGGTCTCCCTCATTCTTTTTGGCAGCTGCTGAATATCTTTGTTTGTGTGTTTTAATTGTGGTGTAAATATGCACAACAAAACATTTGCCAATTCATCAATGTCTACACGTATGTTTCGGTGACATTGATTACATTCTTCATGTTGAGCAACAATTATCACTATCCTTTTCCAAATTATTCTACCACCATTAACATAAACTCAATGCCCTCTAAGCAAAAACTCCCCCTTCCTCTCCTCTTCCCTCTCCTGGTAAAGACCGAACCAAACCCGTTGCCGTCAAGTCGATTCCGATTCTTGGTGACCCTATAGGACAGTATAGAATTGCCCCATAGGGATTCCAGAGAGCTGCTGGTGGATTCAAACTGCCAGCCTTTTGGTTAGCAGCTAAGCTCTTAACCACTGTGCCACCAAGGCTCCCCTCTCCTGGTAGCCACTTACAATCTTTAATTTCTATATATCTGCTTATTTCATGTAAGTCAGATCATATAGTATTTGTCTTTTTGAGACTGACTTATTTCACTCAGCATAATGTTTTAAAAGTTTATCCATGTTGTGGTATTCATCAGGACTTCCTTTTCTTTTTTATGGCTGGATAATATTCCGTTGTATGTATATACCACATTTTGTTTATCCATTCGTCTGTTGATGGGCATTTCCATTGTTTCCATCTTTAGGCTGTTATGAAAAGTGCTGCAGTGAACATTGGCGTACAGGTTTCTCTTTGCACTCCTGCTTTCATTTTCCTGGGTATATACTCAGGATTGGAATTGCTGGGTCATATGTGCTAAATATCTTTTCACAACTAGTTTATTTGAATCAGGGTCCAAGAATCTCCATATATTGCATTTGTTGCTTTTGGTTATGTCTCTTAACTCTTAATATGTAACAGTCCCCCCCCCCCATTTTTTTAATGACATTTCTTTGTTGAAGAAACTGCATTATTTATCTTGTAGAATTTCTCACACTCCAGGTTTGGTTGATTCTATTATCCTGGTATGTTTAAAATGTTTTTTCATTTTCTTTAGTAACAAAATCCTGTGCAATTTCAAGGGAAGAGGCATAGACCATACCTCTCGATGGGAGGAGTGTCAAAATCACTTTGTAAGAAGAGCATATGGGATGAGAGATACTGTTGTGGACTTCTTTGAAAAGTACAGTCTGCCACACTGAGAAAAGAAAATTACAAAGAAACTTTATTGTCAGATTCCTTTCCTAGTTCATGTTTATCTCCATATTTTAAGAAATCACTTGTCAAGAAAGCAAAGATGTTTTGCCTGAGTATTCAACATATAAAATGAAGTACTGGATGCATTATTATTCTCTTACCTTAAAAAGAAAGTTAGCAAGCTGGTGAAAAAGTAATATACTAAAAGTTTTCAAAAATTCTAAATTAAGATCCTCAATAAATTTTTTTGGTGTATTATTATTACTTATAGCATCTTGTGACTGCTGTTTACTCAACTGATCATCCATAATCTTGACAAGCATGGAGATAAGATTAGAAGTTATGACGTCAACAAGTATCAAGCAGAAAAAACCCTGGCCACGAGTCTCTTGGTTGGGACAGGTAGGATTTTCTTTATTCATGCAATACCAGTTTTAATATGTGTTAAATGTGTGTTTTACCTCTAAGGTGTAGGAATGTAAGTGGCCTTAAAGAAAGAAAACACCATCTTTAGAAGGATTACCTACTCACTGAACAGAATTTTTTTTTGTGTGTGTATTTTGTTTTTATTATAATGAGCATGTTAGTTTTTCCAGAAAGTTAAGTGGTCTATCTAGAAGAGTTTAACTTTCAAAAACATTTCTTCCATATTTTTAAGTATGTTGAGATGGTATATATCAAAAGGGAATATTTAATCTCTTGAACTCTCCCCTTCCAGAACAATGAGTTGAGTGTTTACTTCCATTGTGATTCTATGTGTGTGCCCACAATACATTAACAATCCAGGAACACCATTCAAAATATATGGGATGGATTATTCACCTTAGGGAAAGTGGGCAAGCCTCTAAGAGCCTCTTAAGATTAATAAAATTAAAAAAGAAATAGTGTCAAATTTCCTGTGAGAAATTACACCATGAATTCATTTCCCCTAGGGTCCCTACAGTGATTCTCAAACCCTGGGATACATGAGAATCGTTTGGAGACCTTGTTAATAAAACACAGATTGCTGGGCGCTACTCCTAAAGTTTCTGATTCAGTAGGTCTGGGGTGGGGTTGGAGAATTTGCATTTCTAAAATATGCTCTGGTATTGCTGATACTGCTGGTTCAGTGACTGTACTTTAAAAACCACTGCCCTAGAATATGTGAAAACAAGGTTAATTTAAAAGCTTCATATGTTGCTAGATAATAAAAAATGATCAGAGTTAAGTTTATGAATTTCAGAAGCCATATCTGCTTTAATCTAACTATATAATTTAAAACTTGCCCATACTACTGTTAAAAATTGTTAAGGTTAAACAGCAGACAACCTAATTTTGGCTAGCAGAATTTGAAGACACTCCTGTAATTTTAAACTTCAAAGAAATTTAAATGTAATCATTATGTCATTGTGCCTAGTAATTCTAATAAGAGGTATTTTAAAATAGATTGAAAAATCTTCAAGTTCTTTTAAGGTATCAACCTTAATGTTCATCTTATGATTTGAGGTATAAATGTATGATCTTTCTTAAGTATTTCCACTTTGTTTTCCTTTCTAGGATAATTTGTGTAGATGAGAGATTAAATTGACTTGACTTCTGGTACCTTTTAAATACTTCACATATTTCTTCTCTTAGGAAAATGAAGCTGTTTTTCTTTTGGATGATAAATTCATAAATGAAATTAATTTACTCTCAGGAAGGACAAAGAAGAAAATTCCTATTCTTCAGCCTTTGTTGAAAGATGTTATTGTCCTAACAACATCCAGTAATGGTTAAGTAGTACTGATATTTTTAAACAGCCAGATTAACTGTACTTTTTAATAATTTAGGTTATAGATTCAGGGAAGTCTATTACCTTAAGAGTATTACGTTTCTGTTTTTTTTTTTGAAAATAGATGCCTGGCTGGCTGGGGTACTCACTACAGGAGAACTTTTTCTTTGGAACAAAGATCAAGATTGTTTGAAAACTATACAAGCAGCTAAAGAGCCTAAGGAAATGATTAAAGCTTCAGTAGGTGGGAATTTTTTATTTGTTTCAATTGGTTTTATGTGATAAATAGGAGGAAAAGAGGATGAAATATTTTCCTGTTACTATTTAAAAATGTATCTCTAATATATATATGTGTCTGTCGACTCTTTGGCAATGGGTTTTTTTTTATATATATATGTATAAAATGTATGTGTATCTGTATACATATAATGTATATCTGAATCACAGTGACCCTACAGGACAGAGAAGAACTGCCCCATAGGGTTTCCAAGGAGCAGCTGGTGGATTTGAACTGCCAACCTTTTGGTTAGCAGCCAGACTCTTAACCACTGCGCCACCAGGACTCCAATGTCTATATATATGTATATATAAATCTGCTGCGTTGATTCCAACTCATAGCGACCCTCTAGGACAGAGTAGAACTGTCCCATAGGGTTTCCAAGGAGCAACTGGTGAATTTGAACTGCTGATCTTTTAATTAGCAGCCGAGCTCTTAAATACTGTGTCATCAGGACTCCAATCATACATATATACATAAACGCACACATATTTATATTTGTATGTTTATACCCACTCCTCATTTATTGACACAATTAGTTTCCAAAGACCAGGTGGTTATACAAAAATCGGTATTATGCAAAAATTGGTGTTATGTGAAAATGGAGGATGACCACATCACATCACAAAATGGAGGATGACTACATCATTACATAACTGTCAAATTACATCATTACTTAACTGCCAAATTACATTATTACATAACTGCCAAACCACTGAGACTCATGGCCCAGCCAAGTTGACACATAACCTTAACTGTTAATCACAGCCAGTGTTACTCTCGCCTCGCACCTTGGCATTTGTAACTGTCAGATATATGTCATTAATGCACAAAATAGTCGAAGAGTAGATTTTTTTATTTTTGTTGTAAATGTGAAACATCGGATAATGAGATAGTTAAGTGAGGAGTAGATGTATACACACATGTATATATAAAATATATATATACACACACATGTATGTATATATTTTATTTGTGATACCCAGATTCATCTTGCAGAAGAAGTCTGGCATGCCTAATGTATCTGTTCAACAGTGAGTTCTTAATATCACATATTAAGTATTTCATAAATGCTACTATTATTTGTACTTTTAATTTATTACTAGCACCTTAGTTTAAGGAATCCTTGGGTGGTGCAAACCGTTAAGCACTCAAATACTGGCCAAAAGGTTGGTGGTTTGAACCCACCCAGAGGCACCTCAGAAGATAGGCCTGGCAATCTGCTTCTGAAAGTCACACCCTTGAAAACCTTATGGAGCAGTTCTGCCGTGCACATGTGGGTTCCCCATGAGTCAGAATCAACTTAATGGCAACTAACAACAACCTTACTTTTAACATCCTGAATGGTAAGATCATTTGGGTTTCTTAATGTCTAGAATGGATAAATTATGTATTTTCTCAGGAGAATTCAGACTTAAGAGGTTTAATGTCTTTCTTTTTTTTTGTTTAAGCAAGTTCTTTGAGATTGTATTTATATATATCTGGAGATGGGAAAAGAGTTCTGCTTACAATGCCCTCTGGTTGCATATTTCTTTGGGAATATTTGGATTCTAAGAATGTCATATCTTCTAAAAGTCCTTCACTGGTGGGCCAGTGGTCCCAGATCAGACCTGAAGAAACAATTCTTTTGCCTTCCACTGAAGATAAAGAAGCTGTGGTGCATGCTGTTTTTATAAAAAACGAGGTAAAATCCAAATCAGAGAGGGATTGTAGGGGTTGTGATCTCAGACTCTAAGAACATACACTATGTATGAAGTTATTTAGCAGAATGTGTAATGACGTAGCTTTGTATCTCTAGTCATCATTGTCACACTACCTATGAAATTATTGTATGGAAAAGATAGTTTTATATTTTTTGGTTACATTTTTAAAAAATGTTTATTAAAAGTGGTTTGAACTTAGAACCTCCTTTTTCTTTACTTGGTTTTAAAATATAACTTTATTTGTAACTTAACAAGCTAGAATTGGTGATACTAAGTAAGCCATTTAATTTCCAGGAAGTAATTCATTCAGTCATTAAAAAACATTTTAAGTAGCTGCTTGGTACTCTTTGTATGGATGGGCCAAGGTTTTATTACCCAATCTACTAACTGTTTAATAATTCCATTTTGAAGTTTTGTTGTTTTTCTGCTCCCACAACCCTGCTCCTCCCCTCCCGCCATGGCCAGGGGTGATGGTCTGGTTTTAATAACTATAAGAGGGGAGAAAAATAAACATATAAAAGTCTTTCCAGTTATATCCACAATGAATGGCAGTGTTTTTGTAAGAGACTAAACTGCAACCTGATTTCCCAACTTGGGCATGCCTCTTGCTCACAAAAATAAATATGTAGTCTTTAGCTTAATGTTAAGGATAAAATACAAGCAGGATCACAATATTTTCCATTTTATTTATGATGAGAAGTATATGTTTTATGTATCTTGATTTATTTTCAGATTAATTTTAAACTAAAGTATCTTAAATTTATCTATAGTTATTTGGAGACTGCTGCTTGTGTTCATTTGCTTTTTATTCTGGGCAATGGCTGAAGTTAACGTTTCTGGCAATTCGGTGGCATGAGAATGTATGTACACCCATAAGGTAAGGTAAATGTTCCCTTCTTCCTTACTGTCTATCCTTTTTAAAAACGCTGTTATCTCTTGGCCAATATAATAAGATTGGTAAGTGTTAATGTGAATTTCAGCTTCAGAAGCCTTACAAATTCTTTCTTTAGCTTTTATTTTCTAAATGTTCAATATAGAAAGTGTTTTTTTTTTTTTTTTTTGTCTCTCTTCTTGGAAGTGACAGCATGTAAAATATGAAGCAGGCTAATGCCTTATGGATTTGAAATATCAGTGGCATAGCTTCCAGCATCACAGCAATATACAAGCCACCACATTACGACAAACTGACAGACAAGTGGTGGCATTTCAACCGTTTTAGGAGGTACTATATGATGAAGAACTGATGCTATTGAAGGAAGAAGTCCAAGCTGCGCTGAAGGCATTGGCGAAAAACAAGGCTTCAGGAATTGATGGAATACCAACTGAGATATTTCAGCAAATGGATACAACGCTGGAAGCACTTACTCATCTAAGCCAAGAAATTTGGAAGATAGCTACCTCGCCAAGTAACTGGAAGAGATCCATATTTGTGCCCATTCCAAAGAAAGGTGATCCAACAGAATGCAGAAGTTATCGAACAATATCATTAATGTCACACACAAGTAAAATTTTGCAGAAGATCATTCAAAAACAATTGCAGCAGTACATCAACAGAGAACTGCCAGAAATTCAAGCCGGATTCAGAAGGTGATGTGGAACAAGGGATATCATTCATTGCTGATATCAGGTGGATCTTGGCTGAAAGCAGAGAACACCAGAAGGATATTTACCTGGTTTTATGGACTGTGAAAAGGCATTTGACTGTGTGGATTATAACAAATTATGGATAACATTTCGAAGA